ACCTGGTTAAACATAGTCTCCGCCATCTGAGTGGCGTTAGGTAAACGGGTCATGGGTACTAACCGACACATCTTTGAGAATCGATCAATGACCACGAGAATTACAGTATGGCCCTCTGATTCTGGTAGGTCGGTAACAAAGTAATCGCAATGTGCGACCAGGGTCGTTGAGGAGTTGGCAATGGCATCAGCGTACCCTCCGGTAGTGCTCGAGGCGCCTTGGACTGAGCACATACCGGGCAGGATAATACGTAGTCTCTGACGTCATCTGTGAGGGAATCCCACCAGTATTTTCGACTGATGAGTCGTGTAGCTCGAGTGATTCCGGGATGACCAGATCCTAGCGATGTGTGGCACCATTCCATCAGTTGAGGTCGAAGCGGAGCTGGTACAAACACCTTCGACACCAGGGTTTCTGGAGGGGCTGGTTCCGCTTGTAGGCTCTCCTGAATTGTGTCATCGATAGCCCACCTCACAGGACCAGCACGGCAACTCATGGGGAGGATAGGTTCTGGTTCAACCGGTCTGTCAGCGCGCTCGAACCGTCAGGAAAGCGCGTCCGCCTTACAATTCTTGGACCCGGGAATATAGGAAACAGTGAATTGGAAACGGTTGAAGAACAAAGACCACCTTGCCTGTCGGGAGTTCAGCCGTTTAGCACTGTGAAGATACTCCAGATTGCGGTGGTCCGTGAGCACTTGGAACGGATGAGCTGCTCCCTCCAGCCAATGTCTCCACTCCTCCAGGGCTAACTTCACCGCCAGTAATTCACGATTTCCCACATCGTAGTTCTGCTCGGCCGGATTCAGCTTCTTAGAAAAAAAAGCACAGGGTCGTTATTTGGGCGGCTCACCTTGGCACTGGGATAGCACGGCTCCCACTCCAACCTCCGAGGCGTCCACCTCCACGATGAACGGCAAGGTAGGATCCGGCTGACATAAAATGGGAGCGGTGGTAAATCGTTGTTTCAATGTCTCGAAAGCCCGCACTGCCTCCTCCGTCCATTTCAGCCCACGACCCTTGTGGCTGGTCATCGCCGACAGGGGAGCTGCGGTTGTGCTGAAATTACGCACGAACCGTCTATAGTAATTGGCAAACCCCAAGAATCTCTGAAGCTCTTTCACCGTCTGGGGTTGAGGCCAGTCTCGTACAGCTTGTACCTTGGCTTCATCCAGTCTTACCCCGTCGGGAGTGAGTATGGCCCCAAGGAAGGAAATCGTTGTGACATGGAATTCACTCTTCTCGGCCTTCACGAACAGAGAGTGTTGGCGGAGTCGGTCCAGAACCTGTCGCACATGGGACACATGTTCTCTCAGAGAGTTAGAGTAGATTAGGATGTCATCAATGTACACTATGACGAAGCGATCAATCAAGTCCCTAAAAATGTCATTCATGAACGCCTGGAACACAGAGGGCGCGTTAGTAAGTCCATAGGGCATGACACAATATTCATAATGTCCTCGATGGGTGATGAAGGCGGTCTTCCATTCATCCCCCTCTCTAATGCGCACCAGATTGTACGCACTCCTGAGGTCCAGTTTACTGTAGATGGAGGCCTGCCCCACCTGCTCGAGGGCTGCTGGAATCAAAGGAAGGGGGTAACGATTTTTTATGGTAATATCGTTCAAACCTCGATAGTCTATACAAGGACGCAGTCCGCCATCCTTTTTCTTAACAAAGAAAAAACTGGATGCCGCGGGAGACGTAGATGGGCGAATGGCCCCTTGCTGAAGTGCCTCATCAATATACTTGCTCATTGATTCCCGTTCCGGCTGTGACAAAGGGTAGATTCGTCCGCGAGGAGGTGTAGCCCCGGATAGCAGATCAATTGCATAATCCCAGGCCCGATGCGGTGGTAACACGGTAGCCCTCTCCTTGGAGAACACCTGCGCGTAATCCTGGTACTCTGTAGGAACAACAGTAGACACCGCACCCTTTGCATCCTCCACAGTAGACGTTTTGCAAGGTAAAATGAGGCACTCAGCCCTACATACCTCACTCCAAGCCGTGATATCGCCAGACTTCCAGGAGATGACCGGATCATGGGTAACGAGCCAGGGGTGGCCGAGGACTAGCGGCTCCCGTGGAGCGGAGATGACGAACAGAATGATGTTCTCATGGTGCAGGGAGCCCACTTGTAACTTGATTTCCCCGGTACGGTGCGTAATGAACCCAGTGCCCATGGGCTCACCGTCTAGCGCGTTGACTCGCAGGGGAGGTTGAATTGGGATAAGTTGAACTCCCAACTCCTCAGCAAGACCCATATCCAGAAAGCTGGCCGCCGCTCCGGAATCAATAAGTCCTTCCAACCTGCGCACTTTCTCTCCAACAGATAAGGTAACAGGTACATACATTTGTTTAGATGTAATGTTCAAAACGGGAGTCTCACTCACCGGTTTGGCAGTTCCGAGGCGATACCCTGGGATACGGTTAGGTCGTACCGGACATTGACGAACGAAATGACCCGACTGACCACAATACAGGCATAGTCCGTCTTGCCGACGTTGTTGTCTCACCGACCCTTGTAGAGGTGACCGTCCCAGTTGCACAGGTTCCTCCTCAGATTCTCTCCTCCGCTCTGTCGATTGCATAGGACCAGTGCTCGAGGGCTCCCGAACAGTGGATGCCTTGTGTTGCACTATAAGATTATCAATAGCGATGGCTATTTTGATAAACTCATGTAGCGCAGTGATATCTCCTCGACAAGCCAACTCAGTCTGTACGTCTTTGCGCAGCCCTCTTCGGAAAACTGTGAGCAAAGCAGTCTCGCTCCATCCGCTACCGGCTGCTATAGTACGGAACTCTAAAGCGTAGTCGGCTACTGTGCGACGGCCCTGCTGAAGTTCGCACAGTTGGTCTCCCACACTACGCCCAGATACTGGGTGGTCGAACACCTCTTGAAACAGTTTCTTGAACTGAACTTCCGCATTCAGCTCGGGGACCTCAGCTGCCCAAAGCGCAGTAGCCCAATCCAGTGCTCTTCCCGTTAGCAGAGAAATCATGAAATCCACCCTGCTACGGTCATCGGAAAACATATTACGATTATATGACAGATACAGGGACATCTGGAGTAGAAACCCCTGACATTTGCCAGGTTCCCCGTCGTACCTTGTAGGTAGAGAAATCGGAGGTGCATGACGAGGACTGACCGTGCTCGGTGTGGTGCCTTCAGCTGCACCAGCGTGGAGTAGCTGTAGGAGTTCATCCATCCGTTTCTCCTGTATCTCCCATCGCCTCTGTAATTCCGCTGGATCCATGGTAATGGCGAGGTATTCTGTAATGAATACTCAGACAGAGTGGTAAGATCCAATCGCAGAATAGCGATGCTTTATTAGAGTACAGACAAGGGTATAGCTTAATCGTGGTCGGGCGGGCTGTGGTCAAAACCGGGCAAGGCATAGACAGGCAGAGGTACCAAAGGAGCAGGCTTAGTCGTAGTCGAGGGCACAGGCACAGGATCAGAGCACGGTAATCACTGGGGTAGACAAGCAGAGGATTAAGCAATTCGGGGAGTCAAACAAGGCACAGGTCGGATACACGGGTAATCAAAACAACAAACTCTCTCTGTCTCTCGGAACAAAACGCTTAGCAAGTCACAAAGGAACAATACCTCGCACCGACTGAACTTCTGAGCACACCTTATATCCTACCCTAATTACGGACAGGTGTGCTCAGAACTCAGGTGAACCAGATCGAGTCTGATGACTCCCCCTCTCTGTAGATCGGGGAAGTGTCAGACTCTGTCTAGACCCAGCCAACCCCCGATCCCTTACACATTGCAGACCAAATTTATTTTTAGGATGAAAGTATATAGTAACATATCCCTTTCTTAAACCAGATATATTTCTTATCCATCTAGACACCATGTTCAAGTAACTCAGTATATAGTAGAGAGAGCAATAATGTAATTGACAAGGACATTTTTTAAAGCTCTTTAATGTAATCCAGGTTCAATGATTTATTGACTAAAGCAGAAAGTACACATACAAAAACAAGATCACCAATTTACTCCTTTAACAAAGAACACCTTTCATCTACCAATATCTATTATTGTGTACTTGGCAGCACTTCCCTTCTTTGTTCTAGAAAGTACAAATTATTCATGATGTACAGTAAGCAAAAGGAGCAGACATACTGTATAAACATAAAACATAATTTTATACAGTCACTTAAATGAATGTATAATTAAAACTCAACAGTGATTTATTGATACCTGCTATTGAAGATATACATTGTGTAAAATGTGTACACACTATTTGTGTGAGTGCATGTGCCATTCTACCACATCTAGTTCTGAATAAATTTTTTAAAGGGAGTATCTTTCGTCATTCCACTCCCCTGGGTCTGTTGAACGATGTAGTAACTCCCCACAGTCCTGCTCTGTTTCTTTCCAGCTATTAGGCTGTCCATCCCCCCAATTCCTGCAGTAGAAACAACACATAGAATCAAACTGCAACTCTATCAGAGCCTACTACTCCAGTCAGTGATTTCTAATTGACACAGAACTCTTCAAATGTCTTACGTGGTGGTCAGTGGTGTGCCGTCCACTTATTTCCAGGTTCCCTCAGCAACTGAGTCAGTCAGAGACCATTCCAGACTGTTGGTTTGTTTCCTCCATATATAAAGTATAACACTTTAATAAATATATGTTATTTTGGCTGTATTAATGACCCAACTGGTACTTGGGAGACTTGACTAGGAAAATACTCTCTCTCGCTCTCGCTCTCGCTCTCGCTCTCGCTCTCGCTCTCGCTCTCTCTCTCTCTCTCTCTCTCTCTCACTCAGTCTCTCTCTCTCTCTTGCTCTCTCCTTCTGTTGTTTATGATCACAAGGTGTGCTTCTCTCCCTAGAAAGTCCTGTCTGCTCTTCTCCCAGGTTTAAGCCGCAATAGAGTTCAGAAAGTTACAGCTGGATTCAAACTTCTTCTAGAAAAAACATGACACAGATACAGCACTTCTAATGAAGTCATTAGTCATTTGACTTCATTTATCTTCATTTTCAGCCTTTCTGTCTCTCTCTGTAGCTGGTCTCTCTCTTTAGTCTGGGTGCTATAACTGGTCTGTAGCTGGTCTCTGTCTTTAGTCTGGGTGTTATAACTGGTCTGTAGCTGGTCTCTGTCTTAAGTCTGGGTGTTATAACTGGTCTGTAGCTGGTCTCTGTCTTTAGTCTGGGTGCTATAACTGGTATGTAGCTGGTCTCTGTCTTTAGTCTGGGTGTTATAACTGGTCTGTAGCTGGTCTCTGTCTTTAGTCTGGGTGCTATAACTGGTCTGTAGCTGGTCTCTGTCTTTAGTCTGGGTGTTATAACTGGTCTGTAGCTGGTCTCTGTCTTTAGTCTGGGTCATATAATTGGTATGTAGCTGGTCTCTCTCTTTAGTCTGGGTGCTATAACTGGTCTGTAGCTGGTCTCTGTCTTTAGTCTGGGTGTTATAACTGGTCTGTAGCTGGTCTCTGTCTTTAGTCTAGGTCCTATAACTGGTATGTAGCTGGTCTCTCTCTTTAGTCTGGGTGTTATAACTGGTCTGTAGCTGGTCTCTGTCTTTAGTCTGGGTGCTATAACTGGTCTGTAGCTGGTCTCTGTCTTAAGTCTGGGTGTTATAACTGGTCTGTAGCTGGTCTCTGTCTTTAGTCTGGGTGCTATAACTGGTCTGTAGCTGGTCTCTGTCTTTAGTCTGGGTGTTATAACTGGTCTGTAGCTGGTCTCTGTCTTTAGTCTGGGTGTTATAACTGGTCTGTAGCTGGTCTCTGTCTTAAGTCTGGGTGTTATAACTGGTCTGTAGCTGGTCTCTGTCTTTAGTCTGGGTGCTATAACTGGTCTGTAGCTGGTCTCTGTCTTTAGTCTGGGTGTTATAACTGGTCTGTAGCTGGTCTCTGTCTTTAGTCTGGGTGTTATAACTGGTCTGTAGCTGGTCTCTGTCTTTAGTCTGGGTGTTATAACTGGTCTGTAGCTGGTCTCTGTCTTTAGTCTGGGTGCTATAACTGGTCTGTAGCTGGTCTCTGTCTTTAGTCTGGGTGTTATAACTGGTCTGTAGCTGGTCTCTGTCTTTAGTCTGGGTGCTATAACTGGTCTGTAGCTGGTCTCTGTCTTTAGTCTGGGTGTTATAACTGGTCTGTAGCTGGTCTCTCTATTTAGAATTGGTCTGTAGCTGGTCTCGATCTTTGGTCTGGGTGCTATAATTGGTATGTAGCTGGTATTTCTGTGTCAAACAGTTTTGTTATATTTCAGTCTTCTGTGATGTATATAAAGTGTAATATTGAGATGCAAACTAAAAATGGAATACATTTCAACTTTTAAGCCCATAACTATGTATGTGAGGTGTACACTTTTGTTTCAAAGTAGATTTGTTTAAGACAACCAAGAATCACTCTGTGTGACCCTGATTCAGCCCACTGCAGTAAAAGGTTAAACCAGAGATGTTTCTTGTCCCTCTAGACACCACGTTATATTAACCTTAAGTATCAAATCTTTATTAAAATAAATTAAAGATAAAAATAACTATTATTGCAAGAAACTATTCTGAGAGGGATTTCAGGAGAGTGACTTGAGTCTGCTAATGCAGCATTTCCTTTTGATTTCACAATATCTGCATCTGCATAATACTGCAGAACCAAAAGAGAAAGAACGAGAAAAAGAGAGGAAAGTGAAACAATTAAATAGGAAAGTATGGGTGAGAGAGGAGTGGAGGAGAGGTGCCATAGACCAATACAGTACCAGTACAGTAGAAAATATATCAGCTAAAGGATGTTGTCCTGTAAAATCTTCATTCGACCATGAACCGCACCCCGGCTTCTAAACAACTGTGACTTCTCTTAAATCCTATGCAGCACCTTTCCTGGGAAATCTCTTGACTTCCAGCTAACCATAAGGCCTTAGACAGATGGATCGTTTCTTACTACTCATCACATTTGATGGTACGCCAAATTGATCCATAAATTACTTAAATCTCAACGCACCATCAATATATTATTGCTTTATAATTGTTTGACCAAGTAAGGGAAAAGATACGATGACGTTGGCACAAAATGTACAGTGTTTTGGACTATAAAACATGTTTGGTGACCAGGATCTTGCGTTTCGTGCTCGATCATTACATTTCAGTAGGTTCATCATATTCTTTAAATCAACACAAGTGCAATATATTTGGCTTAATCCATTTTCAAAAGTCAAAGACCATGGTAAGAACGATTTCTATTGCATTTGTTATTTTGTATTCATTGTCTGATTCTTTTGTGGGCTAATGAGTCACTGAGGGTGAGAAACTGTCTGTTTCTGTGTGCTTATTTGGCATGCCAGTATATTTGACTTTTTGATAGACAACCTTTGCCAATACATACTGTACATGTGCAGCCATCAGATTTTTTGAATGTAGACCTAAAGCACTGCAAGGTATAGACACAGTATTTGAGCATATGTGTGTACAGATACCTGAGGAAATCTATACAACCACAGGTAAAAGACAATGAATCCAGGAAAAAGGAAGATATTGGATATTGATGACGACACATATACCATGACCAGAACAAGAGATGGTGTTAAATATTCAGGTACCAACACACACACACTAGTGGTGCGGGTCAGCTGTTTGTTCACCCGCACCCGCCCGCATTTGCTAATAGTCCATCTGCAACCGCCCGACTATATGTGATAAAGTGAAAATCTGAGGCCCGCACCCAACTCTAAACCACTAATATAAAAAATGCACTGTAGGCTACAGTCAGAGACAGCGGAAAGATTTTTTGACATGATTTAGATATGTTTCTGCTTATAATTTCCGACATTTTGGTAGGCTATTTGCTAGTCAACTTGTCTATAATTAGATACATGCAGCTTCTCTTCTGTCATTATACTGTATGTTGCCCTAATTTAGAAGACTAAATAAACCCTTGCTCACAAGAGAAATGTCATACATCGATAGAATGAATGCTTCAATCTAGTTGAGATTGGTCAAGTTTTCTCTGTCAGATGTTTAGGGACCGGGGACAAAATGCAATAGCCAAAAAAAAGGGAAAGATTTTCTGTGCAAAAGTTCCAAATGTCATCAGTTTGACCGGTTGTAAGGAAATAGAAAGCTGTGAAAACGACCCAACATTTTTCTAATAAGATTTCAGTTTGGCTTGGATGCATATTTTATGTTGTTGAAATACTATCAGCTTTTATGATGCTGATAAAGATAGCACCTCTACAGCAGTGGAGGCTGCTGAGGGGAGAATGGCTCATAATAATGGCTGGAACGAAGCAAATGGAATGTCATCAAACACCGGGAAACCATGTGTTTGATGTATTTGATACCAATCCACTGATTCCGCTCCATACACTGTGTATAGAAAATATTAAGAACGCCTGCTCTTTCCATGACATAGACTGACCAGGTGAATCCAGGTGAAAGCTATGTTCTCTTATTAAATCCACTTCAATCAGTGTAGATGAAGGGGAGGAGACAGGTTAAAGAAGGATTTTAAACCTTGAGACAATTGAGACATGGATTGTATATGTGTGCCATTCAGAGGGGGAATGGGCAAGAACAAATATTTAAGTCCCTTTGAATGGGGTATGGTAGTAAGTGCCAGGCGCACCGGTTTGTGTCAAGAACTGCAATGCTGCTGGGTTTTTCACACTCAAAGGTTTCCTGTGTGTATCAAGAATGGTCCACCATCCAAAGGACATCCAGCCATCTTGACACAACTGTGTGAAGCGTTGGAGTCAACACGGGCCAGCATCCCTGTGGAATGCTTTCGACACCTTGTAAAGTGCATGCCTCGACGAATTGAGACTGTTCTGATGGCAAAAGGAAGGTGTTCCTAATGTTTGGTATACTCCGTGTATAACTGCATATTTGCATTCTCTCAAGATGCTGACAGAAATCAATCATATTTCTCCACTCCTCTTCCAGTCAAAATTTAGCCTACATCTGGTGTATCATTTTACTGCAAGAAATGCTTAAAGCTGCAATATGTAACTTTTTGGGCTACCTGACCAAATTCACATAGAACTGTGAGTTATAGATCTGTCATTCTCATTTAAAGCAAGTCTAAGAAGCGGTAGATCTGTTCTATGTGCTCCATTTCTCTGCTTCCTGTTCTTAAGTTTAGTTTTTTGCTTCTTTTACTTTCGGTTTTGTACACCAGCTTCCAACAGCTGAACATAAAATAGTTTTGGTTATGGAAAATATACAGTGGGGGAAAAAAGTATTTAGTCAGCCACCAATTGTGCAAGTTCTCCCACTTAAAAAGATGAGAGAGGCCTGTACTTTTCATCATAGGTACACGTAAACTATGACAGACAAATTGAGGAGAAAAAATCCAGAAAATCACATTGTAGGATTTTTTATGAATTTATTTGCAAATTATGGTGGAAAATAAGTATTTGGTCACCTACAAACAAGCAAGATTTCTGGCTCTCACAGACCTGTAACTTCTTCTTTAAGAGGCTCCTCTGTCCTCCACTCGTTACCTGTATTAATGGCACCTGTTTGAACTTGTTATCAGTATAAAAGACACCTGTCCACAACCTCAAACAGTCACACTCCAAACTCCACTATGGCCAAGACCAAAGAGCTGTCAAAGGACACCAAAAACAAAATTGTAGACCTGCACCAGGCTGGGAAGACTGAATCTGCAATAGGTAAGCAGCTTGGTTTGAAGAAATCAACTGTGGGAGCAATTATTAGGAAATGGAAGACATACAAGACCACTGATAATCTCCCTCGATCTGGGGCTCCACGCAAGATCTCACCCCGTGGGGTCAAAATGATCACAAGAACAGTGAGCAAAAATCCCAGAACCACACGGGGGGACCTAGTGAATGACCTGCAGAGAGCTGGGACCAAAGTAACAAAGCCTACCATCAGTAACACACTACGCCGCCAGGGACTCAAATCCTGCAGTACCAGACGTGTCCCCCTGCTTAAGCCAGTACATGTCCAGGCCCGTCTGAAGTTTGCTAGAGTGCATTTGGATGATCCAGAAGAGGATTGGGAGAATGTCATATGGTCAGATGAAACCAAAATATAACTTTTTGGTAAAAACTCAACTCGTCGTGTTTGGAGGACAAAGAATGCTGAGTTGCATCCAAAGAACACCATACCTACTGTGAAGCATGGGGGTGGAAACATCATGCTTTGGGGCTGTTTTTCTGCAAAGGGACCAGGACGACTGATCCGTGTAAAGGAAATAATGAATGGGGCCATATATCGTGAGATTTTGAGTGAAAACCTCCTTCCATCAGCAAGGGCATTGAAGATTAAACGTGGCTGGGTCTTTCAGCATGACAATGATCCCAAACACACCGCCCGGGCAACGAAGGAGTGGCTTCGAAAGAAGCATTTCAAGGTCCTGGAGTGGCCTAGCCAGTCTCCAGATCTCAACCCCATAGAAAATCTTTGGATGGAGTTGAAAGTCTGTGTTGCCCAGCGACAGCCCCAAAACATCACTGCTCTAGAGGAGATCTGCATGGAGGAATGGGCCAAAATACCAGCAACAGTGTGTGAAAACCTTGTGAAGACTTACAGAAAACGTTTGACCTGTGTCATTGCCAACAAAGGGTATATAACAAAGTATTGAGAAACTTTTGTTATTGACCAAATACTTATTTTCCACCATAATTTGCAAATAAATTCATTAAAATCCTACAATGTGATTTTCTAGATTTTTTTTCTTCTCATTTTGTCTGTCATAGTTGACGTGTACCTAAGATGAAAATTACAGGCCTCTCTCATCTTTTTAAGTGGGAGAACTTGCACAATTGGTGGCTGACTAAATACTTTTTTTCCCCACTGTATTTCACAGTGGTTTAGATGGTACAATGATTCTCTACACTATACTTGCTTGTTTTGTCACATAAACTGAAATTAGTTAAACTCTCCCTCCCCACCATTAGAACAGCCTCAATTCGTCAAGGCATGGACTCTACAAGGTGTCGAAAGCGTTCCACAGAGATGCTGGCTCATGTTGAATTCAATGCTTCCCACAGTTGTCGGAATTAAAAATGCAAAAGTGTAGAGAATCATTGTACCATCTAAACCGCTGTCAAATATATTTTCTATAATCAAAAATGTTGTATTTTCAGCTGTTTGAAGCTGGTGTACAAAACAGAAAGTAAAAGATGCAAAAATGAAACTTAAGAACGGGAAGCATAGAAATAGTGCACATAGAACATATTTACCGCTTAAACTTGCTTTCAATGAGAATGACAGATCTATAACTCCGATTTCTATGTGAATTTGGTCAGGTCACCCCAAAAGTTACATATTGCAGCTTTAACTTTTTCTGCCCGTTCCCAAAATCATTTGGCGTGAGTACAATTAGGCCCTAAAGCTTAGGCTTGCGCATTAATGCCAGATAGCCGAAAATAATGGAAAAATAACTAAATGTAGCCTATAGATATAAATTGCACAGGAATTATACATTTATGGATTTTTAAGGTATTGTTTTCTTTTTATTTAACCATGAATTCCATGATCTAAAAATAAATGAACAATGAATGCAATTGCAAAGATTGTATGATAATATCTTATGATTTAGTACATTTTCAGTGGTGGATAGACCATACAAAGTTGCTGCATTGTGTCTGGGGCTGCTCTGTGTTCTCCTACTGGCTGGGATCATAGGCCTGTGTGTACACTGTAGTTTAGTATGTTTTCACTAAAACATTGATCATCTTCAGTGATGTAATTATTGATAAATGTTTTCAATGTTTCACTGTTCCCCTAGTCACTGGTCAGCATTATTCTCCAGGGAGAGACCAGCTACAGACCAGCTACAACAACTTGACTAAAGAGAGAGACCAGCTACAGACCAGTTATAGTACCCTGACTAAAGAGAGAGACCAGCTACAGACCAGTTATAGCACCCAGACTAAAGAGAGAGACCAGCTACAGACCAGTTATAGCACCCAGACTACAGATAGAGACCAGCTACAGAGGGAGACAATCAGACTGAACAAGAAGCTCAAAGGTGAGTAAAATGACTAATGACTTCATTAGAAGTCTTATCTGTTTCATGTGTTTTTCTTGCTACTTCATTCAATGTGAGTGGTATCAATCAATGTTTGTAAATAAAGTAAGGACAACTTCTAGGGAGACCTTGTCAAGAAGGATGGATGAAGTTTGAAACCAGCTGTTACTTCCTCTCAACTGTGAATAACACCTGGGAGGAGAGCAGACTGTGCTGTCTAAGGAGAGAAGCTCACCTTGTGATCATAAACAACAGAGAGGAACAGGTGAGAGAGAGAAAGACAGAGAGAGAGGGAGAGGTGGGAGATAGAAAGACAGAGAGAGAGGAACAGGTGAGAGAGAGAAAGACAGAGAGAGAGGGAGAGGTGGGAGATAGAAAGACAGAGAGAGAGGAACAGGTGAGAGAGAGAAAGACAGAGAGAGAGGGAGAGGTGGGAGATAGAAAGACAGAGAGAGAGGAACAGGTGAGAGAGAGAAAGACAGAGAGAGAGGGAGAGGTGGGAGATAGAGGCTATGTATGAGCAATGGTTTTTTTTCTGTGCCGTAATAACAGATATTTATCAATGGGTTAAACGGAGCAAATAAACAAATCTGGATTGGTCTGACTGACTCAGTTGCTGAGGGAACCTGGAAATGGGTGGACGGCACACCACTGACCACCACGTAAGACATCTGAAGAGTTCTGTGTCAATTACAAATCACTGACTGGAGTAGTAGGCTCTGATAGAGTTGACAGTTTGATTCTATGTGTTGTTTCTACTGCAGGTATTGTGGGGATGGACAGCCTAATAGCTGGAAAGAAACAGAGCAGGACTGTGGGGAGTTACTACACTGTTCAACAGACCCAGGGGAGTGGAATGACGAAAGATGCTCCGTTGAACAATACTGTCTGTGAGAAATAGGATTATCATAGATACTCTCCCTGCACTGTTATTAAAGGACCTCTCTATGTCCTATGTTACTCCTTTTAGTCTTCCACATCTGGAATGGTACTAGATGTGGGAGAATGCCACACGCACACACACGCATGTACACACACAAATTGTGTACACATTTCACACAATGGACATCATTCAATAGCAGCTGTCAATATACAGTATCACTGGAAAGTTTTAGTCACAGATTCAAGTGACTGTATACAATTATGTTTCTTGTTTATACAGTATGTTTGCTCCTTTTGCTTACATTATGCTGTACACTAACAAGGTGTAATTTCTGCTTAGTCAATAAATATTTTAACCTAGATGATATTAAAGAGTTTAAGACATTCCCTTGTCAAGTACCTTATTGCTCTCTACTCTCCTGTGTAACTCAGTTGGTAGAGCATGGCGCTTGCAACGCCAGAGGTAGTGGGTTTGATTCCTACGGGGGACAATTATGAAATAAGTATGAAAATGTATGCAATCACTACTGTAAGTTGCTCTGGATAAGAGCGTCTGCTAAATTACTAAAATGTACTCTGTATTGAGTTAATAAAGAGTAGTATTGGACACTTTGGTCCCTGTGGAAAAAATGCCTTAGGTTTGAAAGTAACATTATCTGTCTAACATAATTACTACGAATACTACATATTTAAATGTCCTTGTTTTAACTATACTGCTTTCACTGTCAACACAGAATATATTGCCTGATCACAGACATTCACTTGCAGATGGGTTACAGGCACATAAAGTTGAATTAATTATTGAAATGTATTACATCATCGTCTCTTGCTGTTCAGTGAATGGCCACATTGATGCCTTCCTCACTAGATGGGACACTCTATTCAAATTACATTGCGTCAATATGCAGTGCCATGGGTGCCTGACTTTGTCTGAAAGTGGGGGTGCAAATATATATATAGTTTATACTGTTTCTTCACAGGGGGAATCATATTTATGAACAGAACACAACTATTTTTCTGGTTCTGCCACAATAAATTATATTGAACTTGAGTAAAGAAAATGTAACGCAAGCTCAGAATTATTCTTCTTGCGCATTTATTGATATGCCAACAATGCTCAACAATGCCTAATTTATCATAACCATTACAGATAACAAATCATAATTGCTAAATTGCCCTATATATATTCAGTCAATAAAAAAACAAGTGACATTTAAGATTGATTCATTGAAACCGTACTATTAACTGGTTACATTAAATCGTGGAACACAATCTTCAAAAAGGCAGTAACCTCAGCAGTGGTGCTTGTAGAAGCCTATGGCTGTGCAATGACATAGCCTTATTTTATTAATTTATCACACACCTATTTTATAGTAAAAAACATTATGTAATATAACAGAATAAAATAGAACTGAATATTTTTCTAAACAACAAAAAGTAGCAAATGCGAAGTGATGCGCATCTTGCGTCTGGGACAGATATTCTCAAAGAGTGATAATTGGAAATGGGGCTCAATTTGGCGAAATATGTTTTCTTTTTGATACCTGGTGATGAATTATGGCCACAACATCTGTTTGGTGAGTAGGCCTAGCCGTAATGATTCTGATGAAAATATGCTATTTGTCTTTATCAAACTATATGTTTTTGCATATTTTCAGTGTGTCTATTTTTACGGAAGTTATATCCTAACCCTAGGCTAACCAATTATTTAATGGCACTAGCAGTTTGCAAAGTAGCCTAAGTGGAAAATACAGTGCATTCAGAAAATATTCACACACCTTGACCTTTTCAACATTAATTTTTGTTGTGTTACTGCCTGAATTTAAAATGGATTCAATTGAGATGGTTCGTCACTGGCCTACAAACAACACCCCATAATGTCAAGGTGAAATTATGTATTTCAATTTTTTGAAACATTTAGTAACAATGAAAAGCTGAAATGTCTTGAGTCAATAAGCATTCAACCCCTTTGTTATGCCAAGCCTAAATAAGTTCAGGTGTAAAAATGTGCTTAACAAGTCACATAATAACTTGCATGGGCTCACTCTGTGTGCAATAATAATGTTTAACATGATTTTTGAATGACTACCTCATCTCTGTACCCCACACATACAGTTATCTGTAAGGTCCTTCAGTCGAGCAGTGAATTTCAAACGGATTCAAATAAAATAAAATACTATTTTATTTGTCACATGCGCTGAATACAACAGGTGTAGACCTTACCGTGAAATGCTTTTGTGTGTGTGTGTGCCTTAGACAGCTGCGAGTGGCTCAGAGGTCTAAGGCACTGCATCTCAGTTCGCTTCCAGGCTGTATCACAACCGGCCGTGATTGGGAGTCCCATAGGGCGGCGCACAATTGACCCAGCGTCGTCCGGGTTTGGCCGGTGTAGGCCGTCATTGTAAATAAGAATTTGTTCTTAACTGACTTGCCTAGTTAAATAAAAAGTGTGTGTGTGGTTAGAGTCCAGTGAGTGTACATAGAGCCTGTGCAAGTGAGTCATTGCAAAACATTATAATAAAAAAGGGGGTCAATGCAAATAGTCCAGGTAGCCATTTGATTAACTGTTCAGCAGTCTTATGGCTTGGGGGTAGAACCTGTTAAGGAGACTTTTGGTCCCAAACTTGGCTTGCCATGCGGTAGCAGAGAGAACAGTCTATGATTTGGGTGGCTGGAGTCTTCAACAATTTTTTGTGCCTTCCTCTGACACCGCCTGGTATAGAGGTCCTGGATGGCAGGAAGCTCGGCCCCAGTGATGTACTGGGCCGTACGCACTACCCTCTGTAGCTCCTTGTGTTCAGATGCCGAGCAGTTGCCATACCAAGCGGTGATGCAACCAGTCAGGATGCTCTCAATGGTGCAGCTGTATAACTTTTTGAGGATCTGAGGACCCATTACAAATCCTTTCAGCCTCCTGAGGGGGAATAGGTGTTGTCGTGCACTCTTCACGACTGTGTTGGTGTGTGAACCACTAGGTCCTTAGTGATGTGGACATCAAGGAACTTGAAGCTCTCGACCCGCTCCACTACAGCCCCATCGATGTGAATGGGGGTATGCTCGAACCTCCTTTTCCTGTAGTCCACGATCAGCTCCTTTGTCTTGATCAGGCCTGCCAACGTCGTGTCGTCGGCAAACTTAATAGTGGTGTTGGAGTCGTGCGTGGTCACGCAGTCGTGGGTGAACAGAGAGTACAGGATGGGACTAAGCATGCACCCCTGATGAGCCCTGTGTTGATGGTCAGCGTGGCGGATGTGTTGTTGCCACGAGGTGTTCAGTCCCAGGTTCCTTAGCTTATAGATGAGCTTGGAGGGCACCATAGTGTTGAACGATGAGCTGAAGTCAATGAACAGCATTCTTGCGTAGGTGTTCCTTTTGTCCAGGTGGGAAAGGGCAGTGTGGAGTGCAATAGAGATTGTGTCATCTGTGGATCTGTTGGGCGGTGTGTGAATTGGAGTAGGTTTATGTTGATGTGAGCCATGTCCAGCCTTTCAAAGCACTTCATGGCTACAGATGTGAGTGCTACTGGGCGGCAGGTTACCATGGCATTCTTGGGCACAGGGACTATGGTGGTCTGCTTGAAACATATAGGTATTGCAGACTGGGTCAGGGAGAGGTTGAAAATGTCAGTGAAGATACTTGCCAGCAGGTCAGCGCATTCTGACTTGCTGTGTCCTGGTAATCCGTCTGGCCCTGCGGCCTTGTGAATGTTAACCTGTTTAAAGGTCTTACTCACATCGGCAACAGAGAGCGTGATCACACAGTCATCTGGAACATGCATGGTTCAGTGTTGCTTGCCTCGAAGCAAGCATAGAAGGCATTTAGCTCGTCTGGTAGGCTCGCGTCACTGGGCAGCTCGTGGCTGGGTTTCCCTTTGTAATCCGTGATAGTTTGCAAGCTCTTCCACATCCGACGAGCCGGTGTAGTAGGATTTCATCTTAGTCCTGTATTGACGCTTTGCCTGTTTGATGGTTAATCAGAAAGCGTAGTGGGATTTCTTATAAGTGTCCGGATTAGTGTCCCGCTCCTTGAAAGTGGCAGCTCTAGCATTTAGTTCTGTGCGGATTTTGCCTATAATCCATGGTTTCTGGTTGCGATATGTACGTACGGACATATGTACGTATGGTCACTTTTGGTAGATGGGTAAAAAAGCAGACATTACATTTAATATCCCTTTGAGCATGGTGAAGTTATTAATTACACTTTGGAAGATGTATCAATACACCCAGTCACCACAAAGATAAAGGTGTCCTTCCTAACTCAGTTGCCGGAGAGGAAGGAAACCGCTCAGGGATTTCGCCATGACCTATGTCGCACTTCCGCATCTACGGTGAAAGGTGACAGCGCTAGAGCAGTGTTTGTCATTCCATGAGACATCCCAAAAATCGGTCTTCACACAAAATCGTCTGTAGCGTCTGAACGGTTTGGCCTAGAAACCACTATGAACCCTCTATGGAAAGTTGACTCTCACGAACACGATGGTGTTCTCCGTTTTGCTCTACGACCCCCACAAGCATATTGGGACTCGTCTGAACTCGGTACAGATGATCTTCCAACTTCTGTCTGTAGCGTCCGAACAGTTTGGGCTACACACTAATATGACCCTTCTGTGCAAAGGTGAGACTCTGTAGGATGCCCACAGCCCTCACAAGACTCGTCTGAAGGTCCCTCGTTACCAGTTGAAAAAGTGAATGGAAGTATATAAGCAGAGTGTTTAGGACCAAAAATAAGGGGTTAAATACATGTAAAAATATATATATATATATAATAATAATTCCTTATCTTTCTTATATCTCTAAGATATAGGACAGACACTTCAGAACAAACTTCCTTTATTGTAATCTTATAGCCTACGCTACCGCATGGGGACTATCTGTTGTTCCATGTAGTGCATCTGTTATTCATCAAAAAAAACATGTAGTGCATCTGTTTTTACATCAGAAAAACAATTATACATATTTTTGATACTTCAAGGGGTTTTAAAATTCAAAATCAAATAGCATATTCCT